ATGAAAGCTCCACGAAGCTTGATCCCAAGCGAGTCGCTGCCGCTGAGCCTGTGTCATCTGCACGAGGCCAATGTGGCTGATTAGGAAGCCCTCTAGTATCCGTCAAGGGCTGCGCACTGTTGATGTAAGATTACAAGTCAGCAAAACTTTACTTTTTAACAGAGGTCATAGTGACTGATGATGGACTTACGTTTCCGTTAGGGCAGCAGGCGATGGTGTTTTTGCAGTAGGACTTATCATCATCCTGTCCCTCTTCGAAAAAGGCTAAGGATTGTTAGTTTGTTCTTTGTTGTCTCTCTTGAAATGTGATCTAGCCTTACCAAGCAGATTGAGATTCCCAATGAGCGAAGTGGGAGCACAGGCAGATCCCTTGCCATTGACGAGACTTCCAATAAGAAGACCCTCCCTGAGTGCATTGTTCAGAACACCGTCAGTGCTCTCAGTGTTGGTGGGATTGCAGCAGTAGATGTCCCCAATCGAGCATTGGCCGGAAGCGTCGTCGATGGACAGCTTCTTCTGGCTTCCCTTAGCGGCCGGAATAGCAACGGCAGTCATGGCGAAGCCAAGGATAGCAGCGACAGCGAACTTCATTTTGAAAGGTAGTTGGAAATTGAACGAGTGTTCTATAGAAACGAGTGTTCAGAGAGAGAAAGACAGAGAAGTAATGCTTTGATGAGCGAGTGAATGGTTGATGATGAATGATACTTTTAGCAGGGGATTTCGACGAGATTTATAGCTCGAGGTGGAGACTCCCCTCTCTCATTCTCTTACTATGTTTAGTATTTAAATTGCTGCGAGCCCCTACAAAATTCTCGAGTTATGGGTCACTGTGACTGAGACATCCAATTCTCGCTCTCCCATACCAGTTAATGACGATCATCTAAACCTCGATGTCTTTACAGAATTGTGCCTTGGGACTATGACCCTTCCAAGGATATGAAGATAGATCTGCCATGGTTAGAACGGGAATGTACGCGTGTGCCTAGACGCAAACAGCTGAGGTTTTGACTTGGCGGGTAGATGACCAGAAGGATTTCTTGCTCAGTATGGACCGAGGAGTTTCAATGTAACAAGTTCATGTCTCTGATTACATCCCTTGTATCGTACCAGTGTAGTATATGAGTCTGTTTAACGAGGATTTAATAGCTTGGCGGAGTACCCTGTGTCAACGTCAACGCTGCACCTGCTTTCGCTAGAAATACCTTTTTTCTTAGCCCGGCTGTGGGGAAGCGAAGGCTAGAATGGTACCTTGCAGTCCTCCCACCCGCAGTGCATTTATGTGCTTGGCACGTTTGCATGAGCTTTATTCATGCTTTCAGTACGGAAGCTTGTTGGTGGCAAGGGAATCCACTTCAGCCTAAGGTAACAATTCAAGCCGAGTCGGGAATATCGGGAAAACAGGTTTCATTGAGCCTAATTTCGTATGTTTCGGGGTTACTTCGCACTATCAGTCAATCTCCCTTCATTGTTGGGTCTCAGCCACCGTTCCGGTGATTTTTGTAAACTATCCTCAAGGCTTACCTCCCTAAGTCCTATACAGGGATTAGACAGTATTTAGATTGCCCCTTCCCAAGATTGAATGCTAAGAATGCTAGGCGATACTACGATTTTTTGGTGTCTGTAGACACGAGGTACTGGATCTCAGCAAATCCATCTCATATGACCCTTAGCAAGGCAACAATTTGCCTGCCCTGAAAATTGTCAGACACTCGATTAGCCTTTGAGAATTTGTCTAATAATGTCTCTCGAAATTCCAAATTGCCTTGGGGTTTTCACTGTGCACCCCTTGGAAGCAAGAGAGTCAGTTCGCATTCGTGTTAGTTTACTTCACGACTACGGACTACCGTCTGAAAGCGGGCAAGGAATGCGAAATCTTGGAGCCTGCGAGGTACCAGGGGCGCAGTAGGGCGAGTGATTAAGCATTTAGAGAGATATATAAACCAGGCACCCTTGAGTTTCAATCTCTCTTTTCTTTTCTTCCCCAGAGCTTCGCTTGGCTGCGAGTTGTAGTTTGGTTTCCGGCTCCATCTGCCACGTCTCTTCTCTTCGTCTCATCCACGAAGCCACGGCGAAGTATACATGTTTTGCGCTTAGCAAACGGGTATACTTCATTGTGACTTTGTGGCCGGGTTGTAGGGGAAGATGATTTTGGGGCTGGATAATACCTACGGTAACTGTAGCACAGGGAAGCTCATGATGCTGAGTTTCCTGTGTTATCAGGGACCTATAATTATGGGAAAAGCTAGACCTTGACGTTTATCGTGGGATCATTCATAGCTAGTTATGAAGGATAGTTATAGCAGATTACAATGACAACGAACACATTGCTTTTTAACATCACCTCTTCACATAGAAAGCTCCATTGGAACTCTTGTACTCACTCACTCAATCTCAATCTGCTCATACAATCATCAAAGTATATGTGTGAGATTTCAACAGCATAAGTCCGCGAAAGTCTAGAGCATGCTACGTGCAGGTCGATATACCCGTAATATTAGGCAGTATATTGCATGTTACTATCTAGTGTAAGGCTATTACACACGTTTGGTTGCATATATACATTGTATTCAGATCTCTAATCACCTATAGTAAATTTGAGGAGCAATATATGATATATAGCTAGTCTGTGCCGAGATTGTAGTACTATGTGTGGTGGAATACATAGTATACCAGGAAGGGGCCTATATATATATATATATATATATATCTCTGCACGAATAGTAGTTGTGTTCCGTCGTTATATTCTGGTGATTTGGACAGAAGAGGCCAATGATGACAGAAGCTACTTGATATTAATAAAAATCAGACAATAATCAAATATGAAGAGCATTTATGATTCAAAACTACTATTTGGGTCAACTGTAAGACTATAGGGTAGAGTAAGAAGAACATGAAGGCCATAAGTTGATGAATATGATCATTAGTCACAAATGCTAAGGCAATTGATATGGCTTAATGGACGCAAGTGGTATAGTTTACCCTGCAGGTACTAATATAAGCTATCATTTATGTCTATAATAATGGGGTTCCATCACAGTGATCTAGTATTTACAGGGTAGTAGTATATCCGATATTTGAGGTCATATTGGCCTTCCGAATCAGACCCAATCATCAGAAATCTAACCCCAAGTAACGCGGGCAACCCCCCCCCAAAACAAAGGAAAAGAAAGAAGAAGAAAAAAAAAAAAAAAAAAAAAAAAACGAATGTCTGGGTATAAAGATAGCCCAAGACC